TGGCAAATCCCCCCAGTCTGAACCATCTATACATCGTCTTCCATGAATGCACACGTCACCCCAGCTTGGCTTCTTGCCTACTTATCCAAGAGACCACAAGGGAGCCTTGCATTGTGGACCAACCTCAGCTTGCACGCTAGTTAAGAAGGAAGGAAGCGTAAGAGCTTCAAGAGGTTGTATCTCTGGGATTACCCTGCTACGTGGATCGTCTTGAAGCAAAAGCCTTATTGTCCTGGGCTCCAGCTTAGCCCCATGAAGCTTTAAAGGACTGGGAACTTTGAGACCATGCAAACTCCGAACGTTGTGCGTTCCTGAGCTCCCACCTCATTTATAGAGGGATCTGCAGCTGAGGTGCCCAGCAGAGCTGGAGAGAACCACCACACCACCTAAAGTGCTGGAAGTCTAGACAGAGCTGTAGGAAACATAAAGTTTTTGAGCATGTGCAGGTTGAACTCAGAGAAAATCTAAGAGGTTTTTAGAGCTCCTTGGCTTTCTGCTATGGAGTTGAGCTCTGAGGTCAGCAGCTGAGCCTGCTAGTGGCCTGCAAGCTCTGGAAGTCCACGTCTAATTTTATTTAAAGTAGTTCTATTGCAAAGCTTAGTTTACGCAAAACTTCTTTCCCCCTCTTTTGCACAAAACAGTTAAAAATTGGGAAAAAAGAAAATCTGAAAGAAAATATTCCAGAACTACTTCTAGAAATTGGCTAAGATGTTTGGTTGTATATTCATCACGCCTAGCCTCTAACAACTGCATTACCGGTGACGTATCTTTGAGACAGGCTCAGGTAGAATAAATGCTGCCATTGTTTGTTCCCATTGTCTGGCAATGCAATAAAACCCCTGTGCTGCAAAGATGGAAAATAAGGGCTTACACAGGAAACTCTGTAAATACAGAACAAAATCAATACAATAAAAGATTCAAAAGAGACTGTTGTTGTCTGTAACACTAGTATACCCAAGGGCATAACCGACATATCTTCTGGTTCTCTTCCTTCACAGCACCTCAGCACCCAATTTAATGATAATTAGGAATAGAGGATTCTCGCAAAGAGGTCATGTTATGTTTTAATGTCATATTTTGATTTTTTTCACTATGGAAATTATCATTTACAAGCCATGTGCATGTAGATATAGATAATAATGAGACGGAAAATGGGACAAATGGGGCTGATGTTCTAGTAGCGAACACAGTACTATGATACTTGAGATTGTGTCGCACCAGTTGGGCCAGTTTCAAGTCCTGTGCTTTTACCACTTACCATGACGACCCCTCCGGACTGCTCTGCAGTGCACATGCTCATTATGGGCGCCATGCCAATGGTCGTCCCTTGGAAGTACACCCCGCTGCAGGAGGGTGGGAAAGGAGAAGAAGAATCACAGAATCACCGTTCAGCGCCAAGATACCACCCGATTATTTTCAGTCTTGTATTTCTGCCAATCTCAAACAAAGATCCCATTTCAAATGTGTCAGCTTCAGACATTTGCAGATTTAAAACAATGGAAAGCACAGATTAGTCATGCTGACTTGCCGAACTGACAAGGACAGCACGCCTGCTACGAGAAAGATCCATTTGATCACCATCCTTTGGGTTTACTATCGTAACAGAACCCTTCTTTCCTTTCTTTTCTCCCTGACTGAAGCTGGGAATAGAAATAGAAACATCAAAATAATGTCTCTGGCTCTAAGAAGGGTTATTTTAATGCAGTGGGAAGTTTATATGCTACTTGTTATACTACACAGCCTAGAATGTAATATTTCCAAAGAAACGATTATTATACATAGAAAGTAATCAAATAACTCATGTGGGACGGTTTGGAAGGGCTCACTCTATTCTTACACAGATAATGTAAGAATAACTATGTAATGAGTAAAGACCTCCTTTTCATTACTAAGACATGAGATATGTTTATCTTCATAGTATAAAGAATAGTTCATTGATCAAAACGATACCCGATTCAAGAAAGAGGTGTTTCTCTTTTTTTTTTTTTTTTTTTGAGAGCTTTTAATTTGAGCATGTTTACTCAATTATTTTAATCCAGGAAACAATAGCAGGGAAAAGATACATATGATTTAATTTTTAAGTCACAAATGCAAATGAATTGTCCAATTTAGACTGCATTTTAAAGTTTACTGAGGCCTTTCTTCTAACAAACAGGCTTCACATGGTGCCCCCTTAGCTCTACATTTGGGATGAGGGCAGGACTGCTTTTTTCAGCAACAATTTAGACTGAGACCAGCTTAAACCACTTGTAAGTCTATACCCTAAGTATGTATCAGCTTATTACACATCTACACTTCTACTCAGTTCTATTCAGGAAAGGCCCGCGAGTAACAGGGCTGTTGCAGAGCTGTGGAAGGAAATTCATCTGAAGCATCTGCTGAAGGGCCCTGCAAAGCGCTTTTGCGTTTGATGTTTGCAGAGGGGAAAGACAAACCCTCAGGAGCACAGATGTTCCTCCCAACAGCTCAGCAGCTGGGGAAGAATTCAGTACAGTCAGTCTCAAATCACTGAAATCCCGGCTGATATCGAATACTGTGTCAAATCTACCTTATCAGCTGTGCATTGTCATGGGGTTTACGAGGTAGTAGTTTTAGTTTTCTCCAGTCCAGAAACTCATGAAGGCTTGTGAAAGGATCTTGAGAAATAGAGCACTTATCCATGTCATTCCATACTTCCACTCCAACCAGAGCTACTCGAATATTTAGTGGCCTATAGAACTAACGAGAAAAGAAAAAGAGAAAAACGTCTTTAAACCCCAGTTTAGACCACATTGGATTAGAGTATTTCAACAGAATATAATGTGCATATGAACCTTTCTTGCAGACACTTAAATGGTCTCTTCTCCGTGGCAAAAGTGAGCACCTGATAGGACTGACTGAGACAAAATATTTCCATGACTTACAGAAAACAGTTCTGACCTGACTAAGTATGCATAAGGCATTCAAAGAGATCCAGAGATATGCTACTTCTCTATGTCCCACCTGAGTTTGGTATTTTTCTTCAAGATGAAATACTGCAACCACCTTCACATGTCCTTCACTTCTGAACAAACTTGTTGCTACGGCAGATGACTCTGTGGCTGCCCTCGGTCAGTTCGTACCAAAGTAATACAAAAGGTAGAGGCAGCTGCGCTGTACTGCGGTTCTGGTTCAAAATAGGAGCTGAAAATTTAGCCAGAGCCATCCAGCCTTGCTCACAGCAGATAAAACGAAATGATTTTAGCACTGTGGGCTACATACACTGTTATCCCACCAGTAAATGCCACAGTTGCTACAAGAGGGGAGCCGGAGCAGCATTAGCAATGGAGCAGAGATAACAATTCTGATGTGAGACTAATGTGAAGAAGGATTCAAGAATTGATCAAGTCCAGATTTGGCTGACAGTCTGAGAAAAGCATATACTAGATCTTTGTCTTGTTTATAAGCATTACAGTCATTTGGATAACTTCGGCATTTGCTGAGCATAAATTAAGCATGAAACATAAATATATTATAACATGCAAAATTAATTTTGAGCAGGTAACATAGAAACACCTGTCCTCCAGTAATAAGTCAGCAAGACAATTATGGAAGAGGTGGAGGTGTCTTCCGCAGCTTGTTTTTAATCAGGAATGCTCCTCCTTGAGTTATTGCCCTTGAAGTATCACTTGATTATTTCTCAGCTAAATTAAGACTCCCTCAGTCATAATTTCACTACTGGACTCCTAATTTTTTCTGGCCATACAGCACAATAAAAATAAGCTTTAATTTGTTCAAAAACCACTGTAGAGGACTCTCAGTGCTTATTGTTTATTGTAAAGAAATTACTTCAAATTAAAAAAAAAATCCAGTGTATGTCTCTTTCTTATTGCTCTTACTCAGCCATCAACTTCTGCTTCCTTCAGCACTGCATATTTTTAACTCTGCCATCTTCCTTGGGCTAGATATCTTATTGACTGTGTCTTCACAGGCCCTTTGTTGGCCTTACAACTGGACTATCCCTTGCTGCTGCAAAGGACTTTGTTCTCCAAATTCCTCCTCAATCCCTTTTCTACGGGCTGTTCCATATGTGATTATCCTCACTGTCTTCCCAGGTTAATAAAATCCTGGGGCTAAATTGTACATCTTAGGAATAGAGCTTCCACAGATATATGCATCCTATACAGAGCAGAGCAGAGCTCACAGCTTAGTTTGTTGAAGGGCATAACGAAACGTTTAAGTTTACTTTTTTGGTTTTACTGGTTGGAGAGGAGCATTGCTCTTAAATACTGGAGTAGCAGAAAAGCAGCAGGGTTACCTCCTTGGAAAGATGGGTGGCTATGGAGATGTGGGAAGGGTTGTGAAAGCTGCTGATCTGAGCATGGCCGTTTTCCTAATATCTAGTAGAAGAAACATAGCTTTCAAGCAAGGTCCTTCAGAAAGTGCAGTAAGTTTGGAAAAGGCAAAATAATGCTCATGTTCTTACCTTATCAACATAGTTTGCAATTTCTATCAGCCTCTGCTTAATTTTCTCCACATCCTTGCCTTGTCTCTGAAACTTGGAATGTAAAGGATCAATGTACCAACAGCACAAATATCATAGACTTTCCTCCCAACAGCCACCTTATGCTGCCAGCATTGTCCATGATGTTTGGGACTTACATGGTGCCACCAAAAGCCATCAGGGGACTCCTATTGGCTTCATGGGACCACGGTCTGCCTCCGAATAAGCACAGGCTATGGGATAGGATTTTGGTTCTCACAAAAAGATTATAAAATCCCTAAGTGTTACATAGGGATCTTTCAGGAACTAATCTTTTGTGAAAAAAAAAGACGACTCCTGTTAGTTATTTTGGCTCTTGCTGCAGAGTGACTGTAATTCCCTAACTAGCAGCGTTCAAGGAGACAAAAAGAAATGTAAGTAGCAAAATAATTCAAACCAAGATTTAGATCTTTGGCTGCCATTCAACTCACTGGAACATTTCTACAGCGAGTCCTGGCTACTTGCTTTGAAGCTCTCTTTGCAAACCCTCAGGAAGGCAGTCGCGCTTCACGCAATGCGATGGTAAAATGCTGCTTCAAAAGTAAGGGTCCTACTGTGTCTTCCAAGCAGCAATGGTCCCGCTGAGGACAGAGTTAATGGCAGTGAAGGTTTAACTAGCTCAAGGAGATCCTGGGCAGTGAATTCATATTTGCCTCTTTCATTTACTGTCAGATATCCCAGGTATTTGAGAGTCAAATTCCTTATGAAGTATTGCAAGAAATTTTACAGTTTACAGCTGTCGTATCTGAATGCTGCTTTCCATTGCTTAGACCTAATTAGGGAAGACGCTTTACTTTTGAAAACCATCATATTACTGTCTGAAGCGCATTGCTTGCAACACCATGGTAGCTGAACTGAGCTACCCATTTCCTACCCACGCTTCTCATAACTTTTTAGCTTTTAAGTTTCTTACCTCACGATTATCTGCCACAATAACAAGCTCCACGTACTTTGTTGTCTTCAGAGTCTCCCTCTTGTACTGCCAAAAAAGATGAAAATAGTTGTGGCTTTTTTTGTTTGTTGTTTTTTTTTGTTTTTTTTTTTGCAATAAGTGACCCTTGGAATCAGCTCTGCCTCAGCCCAACAAAGCACTTGCAAGAGGAGATACACAACATCTCAGACTTCCAAAGATTTCACGACATACAAATTTGTACTGTATTCCTTCTCCCCATGGAGATTTTCCTTTTATCTACTAGAACAGAGATAGTATACACGGTAGTTATAAAAAAACCACCAGGATTTGATTGCAGCAAGCAGGAAAGTGGTGCAAAGTCTCTCTCAACCTTTCAGCTTTCTGTAGTTGAAATATTCCTCTCAGGAGAACATCATCTCTAGCAGAAAGACCTTTGCTATTGCCAAGGCACATTTGAAGAAATCATAACTTTTAGCTAACATTTCACACAATAGACAAAATGGCTACTAAGGAAAATGAGAAATAAAGGGATATTGAGTGAAGCAGAGAGGAGATCAAGTGGTCAACCGATAAATTATGTAGGAAGAAAAACAGCAGAAAAAACTAGAACGAACTGTCAATGTCTGGGGAAGCAAACTAATACTCCAGAAACGGAAGGCATACATTTAATTTTGTATCTATATATTCATATAAAGCAGCTGGTCGTGCTACTTGCAGTTCTAAATTCAGGTCTAAAAGAATCATAACGCTTAGCTGCAAAAAGATCACTGAAGAAAAAGAAATGATTTTGTAATAGCACTAATCATACTACAGCTCCTCTGCTACCCTAAATTTAAGTGACCTATTAATGCCTGTAAAAGTTCTGTGATTTACAGCAGCTGAGCATCTATTCTATCATCCCTCCCTTCTTCTGGAATAAGACAGTTAGGGAAAAGAGGTCTCAGCAGCATATCTGATCTTCATGCCAGAACTTAAGGAGCTTAAGCAGATGTCTGACCTACTAATGACCATGATGTATTGAACGAAACCAATGCTCTGTAACCTGAAACACGACTAAAGCTTTCCAAAGCAAACTGTTCCAAGGCAAACTGTGGGATCCCCTAAGCTAAGTCAGTGCTGGACATCACCTTCCAGCCAAGTTTCACAAAGTTTTCTTCACATTACCGAAGCGTTCCTCTTTGTTATCTGCAGATTAATGATTTTGAATGTTTTGCAAGGAGCATTGTGCTTAGAGGAAAGTTACAGATGTAACCTTTGGTAACTCTGACTTTCAAACTCATATTTAATAGTGTTACACAGCCTTCAAACTGCAGTAACTGGAAAACAGTTAAGTTCCATTCGGACAGTATTTATGAACTGAGAAAGCAGTAAAAGCTATTGTTAATGAACTGAAGATCAATGATACAAACACTTCACAGGATTACACTTATTAGGGGGTCTGGCAAATGAACTCAGGTAGATATTCTTACAACTTCTCCTTGTATTGGGGTTCTTTGTCACCTTCTTGTGCTCTACTGGGGGCAACTGTCACCACCATGGAGTCATGGTGTGTGCACAGACTTGGTGCACATGCCTATGCCTTGTCTGGCACACAGGTCATCAGCAGTGCCTGGTGATATGCCAGCTGGGAACCAGGACACCGGGGAGCCAGCATGACACCTAGAACAGCAGCAGAGGCAATACAAAGGGTCTGCTGTGTCTCAGTAGACTTCAGTGGAACCTACAGTGCTCTGGAAGAGCTCGAGTCACCTCCATGCGAAATGTTATCTGACATGAGTGAGGTGCCACATAAGGCAAATGACCCCATGGATGGTGTTTGTGATGGAACAAAGGCAAGTGGAGGGTCCTGCACCTGGGGAGAAATAACCCCACGCACCAGTACAGGTTGAGGGTCAACCTGCTGGAGAGCAGCTCTGCGGAGAAGGACCTGGGAGCTGTGGTAGACAAGTTGACCATGAGCCAGCAACGTGCCCTCGTGGCCAAGAAGGTCAGTGGTATCGTGGGGGGCATGAAGAAGAGTGTGGCCAGCAGATCGAGGGAGG